TAATAACTTTAACATATAAAAACGTATTGCATATATCCTTTTATTTCATACATTAACCTTGTACGATAGTCTTCGGTAAAACGGTTAAGGTTTATTAAGATTACAAAAAAAAAATATATTAAATAATACATTAAAAATGTAAATGAAACGTAATTATTTTTTTTATAAGAAATATAAGTGCCAAATTGTATGTGATATTCCCATTGCACTTCAACCAGTGTTTAATAATTTGCAAAAAAAAATATGATAATTTTTCACACTTTGACAATGAAGTGTGAGACGAACGCATGCCCACATAACTAGTGATTAAATAAGTTGAATGCAAAATTAGTAACTTTATAATGCAATTTTCGTTCTTATAAAACAAAAATAAATTATGAAGATTCACTTGAATATAATGTTAATGCCATTAAAAAAAAATAAAAAACTATTTTCAAAGTAACGTCATTATATTTCCAATCGATTGCTAATTAGATCTTTAATTTTATAAAAAAAAAACATTTAATTTTAACACATAATATAGTTATCGTTTAATAATAATAATAATGATGGGCAAAGAGTAGGGCATCTCTGACCTAAAGGTACATATTAGTACGAACAAGGTCTCAAAGAAAGAAAAATCTCAATTTTAGCAGATAAATTATATTAATAAATAAATTGATAAAAAAAAGTGTATAGTTTAATAATAATAATATAATCCGGCCATAGCCGGACTTGAACCTAGACAGAATTGGAGCATAGTGATTTATTCGCTGAGCTAATCATATAAACACTCCACTCCCCGTAGTCATATAAACACAATTCCAAAGGAGATAAAATCATGTACAAAACAAAAAAAATCATAAAAATCGTGCCAATATTAGCAAAGATAGAGCGTATACGGATACAATTACATGTTTTATTACTTTTTTCTTTCTTCTTTTTTTTTTTTTTTTTTTTTGGACAGCTCACAGATAAAGATGGGAATGAAAGGAAGAAATATTGCTGCCCTCACTAAACCGGTCTTAGTCTAAGGCCCGGAACTTAGTTGGAACTAAAGCCGTAAAATAAATACAGCTTCGATTGCAAGAGCTAGGTTGAAATTTTAAACTATAAATTCCAATTTATAGTTTCTTCACGATAGTACAGACATATTTTTAAAAATAAAATTTAAGTTATAAATTGATTTAAATTTTATTTTTGAAAATAGGTTTGTACCATCTTGAAGGAACATTTAAGTCAGTTTACAAGTAACATAAACAATACAGAGCATTATAAAAAAAAAAGATGTTAGAATTTTATTTCCTGTTTAATTATTTTTATTATCTTGACATTTCGTTCGGATTCTTTATTTCTTCACACGAAATACTTTCCTCTAAATACTTAGCTAAATTGTACACTGGTCAGAAAAAAATCAATCTAAATACTGATACATCAACCCACAAAACAAAACTTGTAGGAGCAAGTCGAAATTCCATCGGTTTTTTTCTATATATTATATGATATCCAAAGTACGATTTACTTGAATAAATGTTGATAAGAAATAACAACCTACCTTGGGAACCATCCCCTCTCCTTTTATCACCTTTTTAATACGGATTTTAAATATTTTTTTTTTTTTAAACAAGATTCAAAATTAACTTCAAGCAATGAAATAATACACATAAGTTTACCTAAGTAATATATCATTACGAAAACTCTAATTTACACCGATGAGTCCAGAACTGCGAATACACCAAATAGCGCATGATTGTACCACTCAAAAATTTAAATTAAATAAACTATGCTCCATCGATGATTAAGGAAAATGTGTTAGATAAATGGTCCCTCCATTATCAAGAGTATTTTACAAATTGATTTTATAAGTAGAATTTTAATTGAAGATTTCGATGAAGCTTATCTTTTCGAATTAATCTACCAAACTATACCATTATCGTATTGTAGTAAAAAAAAATTTGCTAAATGCGATAAATACAGAGAGAGAGAATCACTTTATTTTCATAAAAGGGTGCTGCCCAAATACATTGGATTGTTTCAAACACAGAAAAAGAAACCCTCCATCATGGAATGCCCTGCTAATAAAAATAAAATAAAAATATTTCTTAGTCCATTTAATAATGACAATATCAATAAAAAATTATTAAAATGCAATAATTCCGAGGAAATCATTAATGTTACGCAATACTTATATTCAATAAAAAAATATATTTAGAAAGAAATATACGGAAAACTCCAATGCCAAAAAAACTATGCTCCATATTTAAGACTGATTTGACAATATTCCTAAAACTACTCTAGCTAGGAATTTCAGCGAAAAAAGAAACGACTGATTTGTTCGGGCTCAATAAATGTCCTTCGATGTATCAAAAACGCCTACTTAAAAAAAAAAACTATAGTCAAAGACATCTACGGTTTGAAGAATCATACTTTGAAAACTTCGAGCAGAACAATAGTATCATATTTTCTAATCACATCTTTTAGATTCGGTGCCATTATTTTATTAAAGTTTTATAAAATATTAGGCCAGTCAAACAATCGGTAAATCAACAGACAGATGTAGATAATTTAAATATTTTTTATTCTAGCGTAGATAAAATTAAAATATAATATACTGATATATAACAGATAAAAAAGCTGATCTCTAACTACTCCAGCCGCCCACTCCGTTTTAAAATAAATCCAGTCCAATTTTAACATTCTATTTTAATTAATTATTTATTAATTATAACTTTCAGAAGTGAAAAAACGACATTCGATGAAATAAAATAATGAAAAAAAGACGAATTATATTATAATGATACATTTTAGAAAATTGTATGAAGCGGTGTATGGTAGGTAGAGGATAAATTTTACATTAATTTTAACAGTCTATTTTAATTAATTATTTATTTATCATAATTTATAGAAGTGAAAAAACGACATTCGATGAAATAAAATAATGATAAAAAGACGAAATATATTATAATGATACATTTTAGGAAATTTTATGAAGCCTTGCATGGTAGGTAGATGATAAATTTTACATTAATTTTAACCAAAATGCTATGTTATAAAATAAAATAAAAAAATTTATAAAGTAGAATTTGGACTATATATATAACTGATTGCTGTTAAATTAATATGTGTTTTATAAGGATGTAATTTGAAGTATAACAACTGAAATAAAATTAGTTTGCAGGATCTTGAAAATGGCTCCTGAAGCCGAAACGTCGAATAAATAATACAGGATGTAAAAAACTTTAATAAAGTTTTCATATTGTTACCAAAAAGTATTGAAAAAACGGATAATATGACTGATGGGACAGCAACAGAATAAATAAAGTCGAATGTGTCAATCTATCAAACAGGAATTCTTCTACTTCTTAATGGACTCATAAGGGAAAAATGGCTTTATGAGACGAACAAATGTCAAATAAACTTCGATTGGATAAACCCACCCTTAAGAAGTGGACATGCTCCAGACCGCCAAGAACAGAGGAAATGGTCATCTTCCGTCACAGAATTGGACAATGCCGCCTCAAACACGACTATCTGATGAGTCCTTACCAAAGCGTCATAATTGCCAAATAGAACTCGCAGCGATATAAGTAATCGAAGATTGTCTTAAGTATAGCGAAAAGAATGGCCAATTTCGGAATTCATCGATCTCAGGCCAAGACAGTAAAGATGTATCTCACCAAAATTATTAATTTCGCAAAAGGCTCTACAGCAAGGTATGAAAAAAACAAAACAAGGTGTGTGCTTCAGACCACGCGATAGAAGTGAACACATGAACAAGGCGAGATTAATGATATGAAATATAAATTATAAATAACAGCTCATTATAAAGAGGATGAAATACTGAACATTTCCCTCGCTTACAGTATGCAGGTCCGATTTTTAGTTTCTTAGATATTTAAATTACCTTTTGCTTCTCTAACATGGCGTCACTTTAAGATACAATTTTGAATAATAGCCCATTACAGAGAGCATGGAATGCTGAACAATTCTCTCTCTTATAGTATGAAGATACGATTTTGAGTTTCTGAGATATTTTAATCCATAAGCAAAAACACTTGAATTAGTCAACCCTAGCCGAATTAGCCCATTTTTTTTTTGTTTTTTGTTTTTCGCCCATACAATTTTTTTTTTTAATCCAGATAGCAGGCAAATTTGGTAGCAAAAATAATAACATAAAAATAAAAAAGACTAATACAGTCTCAACAAATACATTTTCATCTACCATCATTTCATTTCTTTCACAATGACGAAACCAAAGTTTTGGATAAAACAAAAACAAAAATAAAATATGTTGTTTATCATCTAACAACGAACTATAACGTCCTATATAGATTATATAGGCCAAACGACCCAATATTTTTGTAGGCTGCCTTTGTTCTCGATTTTGTGATCAAATTATCTTAAGTTCCAAGTAACTTCCTCTTCGATTCCTGATAACCCTCCGAGGCGTCTGAAAAGAAGATGGCCTCGTGATCTCCTCATGTAGACAAATTATTAGAGTGCTACCAATGGGTAGTTTCTCAACAAGCGTGTTTCATGTTATTTTATTCCTCTGTATACATTTACTTGATGTATTCATACTAATACAGTTGTAAGTATCATAATAAAAATTAAAAAAAAAAAAGTTCCAAGTGGAAAGCAAATGAGTATTTACAAGTTTTTAGTACCTAATTAAATAAACAAAGTTTGCCGACTTCCAGATTGAAAACGCCACAATTCCAAGAGTTTTCGTAAATAAAATAGTTGTTGGTTACGAAGAGATGAAGTTATTCACGAAGTTTCTGACGGATGTTAATAATTTGATAATAAGGGGATCTCTACCACGGATTGATACGACATGCAAATGAATAAAGTTCTTCTACAGTCTTGTAAAAACGAATATAACAAGTTCATTTTAAAAATTTTAAACCGCCTCATAAAAATCAGTTGCATTAAAAGGTTTCGTGTAAGATGATATTCACAAACAGCAATCTACTTGCAGTTGTCACGTACATCTTCTTTACTACCCGTATTCGAGAAACATGCAGAAAACTTTGAATTATTCCACCTATCTTCTTGCAATATTTCCACTTTTAAAGTTGGAGCTCGTTCTAGTCCGTCTAACTCTGCTTGTAAGTAAGTTTGATCCGGAATAACTTTTTTTTCTGAAAAATTAAATAAAATTCTAAAACTTCTTAGATGAATTTATTATTTGTCCCTATATAAAATATGCAATTTCTTGCTACAAAAAAATTGGTTCTGCGATCGAATCGAACAATATCTAAATATGGTAGGTCCTAAATGAAAAGGATAAAACATAACAACCATTTGCTGTTATAATATATTTTATTCTATTCTATATATTAAATATGTTGATATATATATATTAATTATATATAAAATAAATTACATTCGATATAATATACATATGTCAATAATATTTCATAATATTGAGGTCTTTATTGATAGTTTTTTTTTTTGACATAATAAGTATCATTAATATTTCTTTTAAGGATTTTAAAGACCGGATCTGTGCAGGATTTGATTATTTTTTGGAACCCCAAAGCTCAACTCTATATGAAAAAAAAGGACAATAGTGGAGCTAATGAGTTTTCTGTAGCGTTTGTAGTAATATGAACCTACAAGTAGTTTCGTGTCGTTTCAGTCTTGTATAAGGATTCCAAGTAAGACGCCTTAAAAATAAAGTTGTATTCCTAGATAGTCTGACGAAGAGTAACTGTTATTTGATGGTATTTGTCTTTTTTTTTGTCTTTTTTTTATTTATTTATTAAGATATATAATATTCTGTCTCGTGGACAATAATAATAGTGATAAATGAACACATTCACACCAGATATACTGAAAATACAAAAATTAACAAAAGTAAAATAATAACTAAATAATAATAATAAGAACTATGTACAATAAAAAAAAAATAAAATAAACTAAAGATAAGTAAATTAAAAACATAAAAACACAGTCATACATATATACAATCAGACAGGAAACCCAAAGCCAGGCTTCTCCCTCCAACTATAGAAGGAAAAGCAGGACTCTAAGAGATCCCTGCGCTACTCTCTCAACCGCGTCATTGGTGCTAAAGATGGTATTTGTAAGGATTTATTTTGATTCTCCAGTTTTAAAACCATTATTTAATGGCTGCCTTATAAAATCTGAATAACCTATATATCCCTATAATTATAAATAAAACCATTCGATTTTATGTATTTTTTTACTTTTAAGTAATTCACGAGCATGATATAAAAATATATAAGAAAAGACGCACACGAGCCACTAATTCAATGACCTCATTAATGCACCCATCGACCGAAAAACCTGTTCATTCTTCCGTTCATTTTCAACCACATCAATTCATTCATAAACCTCTTTATTATTATAAGTTTTAACAGAAGAGAAAAGTAATATTTTTTATTTTCTAGCGATAGTACTGACAAAATATAATAAGTGCGTGTAAGTAACACTTTCTTAAGTTATTCCTATTACTTACCTTATTATTACCCTATTAAATTCGTTGTGTGAAAATATTTTTATCCACTTCTGTAAATTTAACTGTATTAATTTTGATAAAAGTTAATACTGCCGTATTCACTATTGTAAAAGTTTATATTATAGTTTTTATATTCACAGCCGTGAATAAGTATCATCTGTATTCATATTTCTTTTTATGAACATAAATACATTTCATATTTAAATTCATAAGTACTATAAATATAAGTGGTGGTGGGGTAGCTAAGTGGTAGGGCACTGAGCTTCCAATGCAAAGGTCCCAGGTTCGAACCCCGGCTCATGGCAGAAAATTTATTTACCTGTTTCATTGACCGTGGGGCGACCCTGGGTTGAGAGTCCCTCCTGGGGCACACCCAGCCTCTATAAAGTGGGTACCCTTAATTAAATAATTAATTAAGGGGAAAAACCTGGAGGTTGAGCGTGACCTCGGTCAAATCACCTCCTTGCACAACCGTTGACCTAGAAACAGTACTTTCCTCAAATAGTACTGAACCCCAGACCCTTCATGAGTTGTAGTGGTATAGGTTTTTTTTTTTTTATAAATATAAGCGGTATCCGTATTTATATTTTGAATATAAATATGCTCATCTCTGCTGGTCATGCGATCCAGAAACCACGACAGTCACTGACTCATGTTATTTCTGCACTCAACGATCAAAGAAGGCGTCATGTATGTATGTAACTACTCAACAGACTAACCTGGTTCTTCTACACTCAACAAGCATCTTGCCATTCTAAGCTCCAGAAAATGATTTTTTGCATTTTTTTTTTTTTTTTACTCAAGTGGTTTCTGCACTCACCGATTCAATTATGCCTTCCATTCACCCATAGATAGGATTCACCGAAATATTAATTTATTTGCATCCTACATAGATTCCTTTGACTATCACATATTTTGATGGTATCGATATACATAGACCGATATAAATATCGATGACAATAGCGATATTGGGCCTTCGAAATCCCATTCCTAATCTATACAATCTTAATATATATAGCGTAGATAATTTCAGTTCTGCAACGCAAATAAAGAATTATAATTATTTTGCTGACGAAAATTATTTGTCATTTTATAACACATAATAATAATAATGAAATTAATAACATAATTATTATTGATTATGTCCTCAGGAACCTATTACTACGACAGCAGACCAACGACATCAAGACCAACGACAACGACAGCCGACCACTCGACAACGCAGAACTCCAAGACATCTTAAAGTAGCTACGGCAAAACCAGAAGCAGATGCTACCAAAGACTAAGCCTCGATCTCTACGAGTATTAGATAGTATTTCGTTTGTTTTTAGTTTATTTTTTTTGTCGTTCAGACACGAATAATTGTATTATACTTTTGATATAAACGTAATTTTTTTTAATTTTGTGGTTTTATTTCGATTATCCTACCTACAGTTCTTTATGGTTGCGAAACGTGGCCGCTTAAATTAATGGATGAACAACGGCTTAAAGTTTTTGAAAATAAAGTATTGCGCAGAATATTCGGACCGAAAAAGGACAACCGGAGAAGGCGGTTACACAACGCTGAATTGCGTGAACGGTATCCGGTTAATATAATTGAGGTGATTAAGTTGAGGCGAATAAAATGGGCATGTAAAATCGCTGGGCTCAGTAACGAAAGAATTACTAAAAAGTTAATATGCGCTGTAGCGACTGGTAAGCGTCCGAGGGGAAGACCAAAGCGAAGGTGGGTAGATTGCGTTAAGGCTGATTTGGCGGGGCTGGGTTTAGACGGAGCCCGATAAATGGAAGAATGTGGACATCGATTAGTGGTATCGGCATCGAACCTTCGGGTTCGCTAAGCCTTATTATTATTATTATTATTTGTGGTTTTATTTATTTTCTCTCATTTATACAGTCTTGGTTATAGAAACTGCATCACCTATTTCTTACGCTGATTCCATCGAATGCTTTTATTTTTATTTAATTATTTAGTTGTACAATGTGGAGGGTTTAGTCTATTGGAATGTTGGTAAATAAGCTTTCGGCGTCTAGGGAAACAAGTATTAAATTGTCAGGTATATGGAGGGAGGACAACTCTTCTTTGACGTGAAAATAATTAGTAGAGAGCGTAGAAGAAATTTGCTGAGTTTAGCTGAAGGAACGTTTATATTGGAGATGATAGGGCGGAGGGGGGCTAGTGTTGCCCAGAATCGGTCTTGGTCTATAGTTTTATAATATTTTCTATTGAATTTACTGAGTATTTTAATGCTTTTTCTCTACAACGGGGTATTTTGTTTTTTGTCTTGATGTAGTAATGTACAATCTTCTGTTATATGCTTTATGGTTAGCGGGGACTGGCAGGTATCGCAATATGGTTGGTCCTCTTTTGTTAGGGATGGACATGAGTCAGGTTAGTATGACAAGTATTGCCCAAAATCGCACTTTGCAAGACCAAGACCAAGTCCGCCTAACTGTAGCAATACCAAGACCAGGATTGGTAAAAAAAAATCGATTTTTTAAATAAAAACTAAAATAGAAAAAAAAAGTAAAATAGTTAGTAATACTCGGACAATCTTAGTTACTATATGTATGTTAATAATTGGTATAGCCAATATACTTTTGTATTTAACTCCTCTAGTTTTTCATTCGGCCTTAGGTTTCTCCTATCTAAAAAATTACAGAATTCTCCGAGTTCATTCAATTTAAATCGCAATACCCGTTCCCGGTTTTCAGATTTATATATAATGGTCCACCGAACCGATGCTTTCGATAAATCTTTTATTATTCGATCCTCATCCCTATGGAACTCCATCCCTCCCGACATCCGTCGCTCCAATACTCTCCCTACTTTTAAATCCCGCATATTCAATCCCTTCCTTTCCATCCAGTCCTTCTAAAATTGTAAATAGAAACTTCTGTAAATATGTACATATATATATATTATTAGTTTATTTCCAATCATTTTCATTTCTTTGTTCTTTCATTTATTATTTTTTCTTCTTAATTGATTTAATCTAGAAGATAACTTTTTTTTCTCTATTATATCTATTAGTTAACATTGTAAATACATCTATATATATATATATATATATATATATATATATATATATATATATATATATATATATATATATATATATATATATATCTATTAACATATATAGATATATATATCTGAGGCTCAAAAGCCCACATTTCTGTCCTTGTTAATTATTCTAAAGGGATTCGTCCCAGAATAAATAAAAGATTATTATTATTAATAATAAGCTAATAAGTAACTGCAAGACTGTAGCAACACTCTTGCGCAAGACCAAGACTCGTTTCGGTCTCGCATTTGGGCAACACTAAAGGGGAGGACTCAAAAAAAAAAAAATTATAATAAATAAATATAGGTTTTTCTATGTGTGTAAAATTTTAACATAAGTGAGCAAGTTGGGTCACAAGATGAAGGTAAGTAATTGGATTGGTCAGGTAGGCGTTGTACTTCGTCTGAGTATTCGGTCATGTATAATAACTGTCGAATTTCCGTTATCAGCCTTGATAATAATGAGGTGGTCGTTAGTTTTAAGGAAAGGGCGTGTGAAAGATAAATCTTTGAAAAATAGGGGAGGAGGAAAGATCGAGACGGTGGATGTTGAAGATGATTAAAAAAGAAGTAGACGCCGAAAGCTTTCTTTAGGATACTAGAAAACTTTAATAATGTTTCTCAGTTCAGTTTTAACTAATGTCAGGATAAAAGCTGTAATTATGATTAGTTATAAAAAACTTTCCTCGTCAGAAAATATTTAAAATTGTGACGTTACATAAATTGAAGTCATTTTCTCGGAAAATAGTAAAGAGAATATGGTACAACTAATCAACGATAGTCATAGTTTTGAAAAAATTAAATTAGAAAAGGCACCATGAGAATGGGAGCAGAAAAAGAAACCAACAGTTTGACCGCTTAATAGTAAGATTGTTTTTAGAATATTGTTTCAAAGCTGGCAAACAAATATGATCCTACAGATAGCAATCTGGTAAATAAAATGAAATTTTTTTTTTTTTTATTTCTTAATGACATTTACAACTGTATTACATAAATACATCAAGTAAATTTGGACATAATAGATATAATGACATGAATACACTTGCTGAGTAACTACCCGATGGTAGCACTCTAATGATATGACTACATTAGGAGATCACGGGGCCATCTTCTTAAAATAAAATTTAGTGATATTTTTACTGGATAGTGCTATTTCTATTCTACCGTGAAATTACAAAAACCTAAAAAATCTAATGTAAGTATTAAGAATGGATCGTTCACAGCAGTGGAAAATGAAATTCATACTCTATACTGAGTATGTTACTAAAAGAGCACGGAGAGAGAAGAGAAATAGCAGATCAAACAGTACAGATAAGTTATCATACACGTATAGACTCTGTTATGTGATTTTTTATACTACATGCATATACTAATAAAAACTAACAAAAAGTAACAATAAACAATACAAAAATAATTGTAAAAAGTAGTGAATAATAATAATTGAAAGTTTTAATTATAAATATTTATTTTATCCTAAAGGATTTTTATACTGAAAATACACAACAGTAAAAGAGGCCTTCTAGAAGCCTTCTTATAGTGATAATATATATATATATATTTTTTTATAGAAAATAAACTTTATTCTGGGACGAGGTCCCTTATGAAAAACAATCATGAACAAAAAAATAAAACCCACATCTGGCCAAAAATTACATTAATCAACATTAAAGAATATAAACAGTATCTTCAGTGAAAGTATATTAAAACAAATAAAAAGTAACACCATTTTGAAAAGAAAAAAAAAACATTATTTAAATGAAAAGAAAAACAGAAATCAGGTAAAATAAAAACAAAATAATATAAGCATGGGTTAATTTTTAAAATTAAAACTCGAACAATTTCAACAACCATTCACCTCAGTCAAAATTTGTTTCAAAATATTTATTTCATTGTAAAACGTCATTTTGGGAAGTGAGAAGGAATTGGTAGAGACGATATTTGAATGAGGACAGGGAAGAGGCATGGCGGATATCAGATGGCAAGGAATTCCAGAAGGCAGTGGATCGGGCAGTAAAGGAATATTCAAATGTCTTAGCTCTATGGGAGGGATATAAAGATCGAAAACACGGGATCTTGTTTTCTGGGAGTGGACCACGGGTTTGAACTGTAGGAGACTGTTACAAGTTATAGTGAATAAACATGTTCACATGTTTGAGAAGAAACTTGAAAGATATTGTGGAAAATTTTGTCTTAAAAACAAATGTTTTTTTTATCAAGATAATGACCTCAAACAGTCTTATGTTAGTTAAGCAATGGCTACTTTATAACTGCCCTAAAGTTATAAAAACGCCACCATAGGCACCAAATCTTAATGTGATAGAACTCCTTTGGGCAAAATTGAAGATAGAAATTTAAAAAGACGGAATTTTCTAGCAAAGAAGACTTTTAAAATATCTTCTCGAAGAATGGAACAGGCTGAGTTCGGAATCATGAAAAAATTGGTCGACTCTATTACAAACAGACTGAAATGAGTGGTAAAAAATAATGGCTTGCCTATATGAATTAAATAATAATAGTATTTAAAGGTTAATAAGAAGTAAAGTGTATTATTTTGACTGTGAGGTAAAATTATTTTTGTTTTAGTTTTTTGTTTTAAATAATCACAGTGGAATATTTATTGAGTTTGTACATATTTAAAAGGAGGTTATAAATACATCTGAGGAACAGTATTCGATTTTATTTATTTACTGTAACCATTGAAGTATTTATTTTCCTACGGGATGTATCTATTTCACTGTGTGTCACTGTAAGTACTATATATACATAAAATCAAACCTTTTTATTTTTTAAAGCGATGTTCGAATTATAGAATGATCCGGATTAGCGAGGTTTGGATTAACTACGGCACACTACTTTTTTTCAGTCACACCTAAAACAGCCTCATAAATAAATAAAACTAAACCGATATTTCCAAACCTAATTTTGTACAATCGTTTCGAGGGAAATAAAAATTTATTGACAGAGGGTAACGAATTCCAAACAAGCCGGTCGGATTCAACGTACCAGAACCCAATAAATGCAAATGACAACAAGCCCAGGATTAATGTCTCCTAAATCCAGAGTAATTTAAATTAAATCTAATCCTATCCTCTTCCTCTTTTTTGTTATTTCTTTCTCTTTTTTTTTTTATTTTATTATGCTAATAACTAGCTACCCACAGGTGAATAAAAGTATCAGAGAAAAAAAATTAATTTTACATAACCGTTCCGGGCATTAAAATCGTGGTGGAATATCATGATTTACTAAACGACCGCATTTTTTAAAAACAGTTTTTAAATTCGAT